TGGTCTGGCTCAGAACTCTAAGGGTAAGAAGTAGCAACTATGTGTGAGCATTAATGTTTCATGTGGTAAATGAAAATGCATAAATCCTCAACTAAGAATAGTTTCATAGTGTTGGTAGCCTACACTAACTTCTGCTTGAGGTTGGAATCCCTTATTTAGCATTATAAAGCCCTTTGGACTTCATTATAGTAAAATCTCTTCCTGTTGCACACCTAGGGTAATCAGGAGTCACTGAAAATCATTTTTCCCAATGCTGCTATTGGTGCCTAATGGTTAAGCTGCAAATGCATCAATTGCTAAAGGCCTAGAGAAGAGGTGTGGCTAAAAGTTACGTGTTCATGTTTACTCCTTTTAATATATGAGATGGATAGTCAGCCCTGTTCCTTTTAGCAATGTAAAGAAATGAACAGATTGTGAATGACACTGTGTAGCATTACAGCATGTTTTGGTGATCTAAACTAAGCAATGTTTTTTCCCAACAGGTCAATCCCTCAACTGGCTGGATGGCTCATCAGTTAGTTATGTCAACTGGGAGAATAAAACTGCAGAAGCCAGTGAAAAATGCAGTGTTATCATGTCCAGAACTGGCATGTGGTCCAAAGTTGACTGCAGTCGTAGTCAAAGCAGAGTGGTTTGCAAAGTTCCTTTAGGTACAGAGGCATTGCCTTTAGTGGAGACTTAATTTTGTAGAGGCTGTTTTCAGGGTTTTTTGGTTTGTTGGGTAAAGTCTGTGTGGAAATAACTGAAGTGCAATTCACAAAAGAACCCATCAAGTACCTCTGCCTAAGCAAGAGCCTTCTATTGTTGTTTAGCCATAAAATTGCATTCAGAGACAAATTGTCTAGGAATTTACTTCTCCTGACTCTCACTGTCCGCTCGGTGGGTAAGGGAGAGAACTGAAATGTCCACTTAAAAGTGAGCATAGAGTAGTTGCTAGTTCTTACCACAGCATATCTGTCATGGGTGAGTCATGGGTGTAGGTGGAATCAGATTGTGTTTTCAGTCTTGATGAGGCTTCTGGAAAGGAGCTCCAGAAAAAGGCTCAGGCTGCATGTTACTTCCTCATGCTCTGCTTTGTACAGGAAAGAAAGCAATTACCCGAGCATTAAGCAAGCAAGTTCCTGAGAAGCAGTGAAATCTTTCTGATTTTGTTTACATTTTCATTGAGGTGGAAATGCAGGAATAGATTTGACTTCATGCTGCTAAGGAAGACCTCAGTAAGAAGTATAATTATCTCCCATTCCAAGAGCTTCCATCCAAGAGTCCAGGACCTCATTAGATTTATGAGGTATACAAACCTCTAAATGACTGCAGCATTTACAAGTAGGTTTTTTGACCTCTGGAGGTCCCTTCCAACCTAAATATTAGTAAATTAACAACAAAATGATCAAAAATAAGCTAATGCATACCCATATGAATCAGCATCTAACTTCCCATGTGATGAAGTGAAGACTATTAATATGGTGAAGGAGTTTGCCTTGACTTCAACTAAATGTGTGCAGGAAGAGCGTAGAGCTACCTAAGCGTGAACCCCATGACAAAATATTCTTGCCAAAACTCTTACAGAATAACTGTTTGTCTTTTGTTCTGTTTCAGGTTCTAATCACACTGGTGTGGCTGTAGCATTTGCCCTGCTAGTTATCTTAGTCTTTGCTGGTGGACTGGTGTTCTATCTCTACAAAAAGAAGCGTCTTCACTGGAGTGCCTTCTCTTCAGTACGGTATCAAAGAGGGATGAACGATGATGAAACCGATGATATGTTCGCAAAAGATGGCTATTGAGAAACTTCCTTCTGGTTAGTTTAAGAAAGAACTTCACTGTGTGAAGCCATAAGAAATCAGCTGCTTGATGTTTTATTACTTCTTTTTGGAAAAGTAATAAGGTTATGAATGGGGGCTAAAATTTGTTCTTTTATATGCAAGTGCAATTTTCTGATAAAAAGTCAATAGTAATTATTTACGTTTGGCCTCAGCCTTTCAAAGTGCAAGGTTTCTAGAGTTCTGTTGTATTTTTTTAATTTATAGCATTTTCTCTTTTTACTGGAAAGAGCTTTTAATGGAATAAATTAATGCCAACAGCACTTCATGCAACATCACTTTAATGGATACATTTAAAATTTACTTCCCCCAATACTCTTACTTATACTAGGATTAAATGCCTTTATAGTTTACCAACCTGTAACTTCATAGGTGAAATATGTCATCTGTCCAAGAAGATAAAAGATATGTCTAAGGAAAGAGTGAGAAAGAATATATGGTAAAAAAACTTGTGTACATAAATGCTAAAAATACTTGAGTATTTTACATAAAACTTAAACTTGATTTTTATATGATGTGTCACTGTAGCCTTTCCTATGCACTCCAAAGAAAGCTATAAAGGAAAAAAGGGAAGAGAGAGTTGTAAATATTAATTACTAAATGATTTGATCACTTAATGTTTTGAAGAAGTCTTTTGACTTTTTTAAATGCACAGTACAAAGAACAAGCGCATTTACTTTTATGAAGGAGGATATGCAAAAACCAAATCCGTTCTGCATGTGGTGGTGTCATGAGATGGTAAATGGGAATACATTTGGACTGATGTGCTGAGAAGAGTACTACTACTGATTTCTCTGAAGCAGCGGTGCGAGGTCACAATGTTCAACTGCCTTTTTTTCCTGCAGTTTACTTACGTTGATGGCACTTTTCTTTGTTCCTGTTTGCACTATTTTGATAAGCGAATGTTTATCATTTGTGTTGAGAAATAGAGAACTCTTTATAGAGATACTATTTTGAGCCTGTTAAAACAACAGCCTGAAAGGGGCAAGTTAAAGGAGCCATTGTGGTAGTTTGCTGATCAAAGAAGTAAAAGCACTTTTGTTGTTTGTTTGGTACTTTGGGCACAATTGTGAACAGTTGCTTTCCAGAGATAACTTATAGAAAAAGTAGTTATGATGTTAGTTACTGTGTAATGAAAATAACCTTCATTCTTTAGCTTACCCTGGTATGAGAAGTGTTTGAAACTTTGCAGAGCCTGGTTCCTGATGTCTTCTGGTTAAGCTTATATGCCTAAGTGCTTTGCCAAATGACTTTTAACTTAATGGACTAGAAAAAGTGTTGGTTATTGTCTTTTTCTACCTACGGTAAAAAGTGGGGAGAATTATTTAGAAGTTCCCATGTTTTGAGATTTACTAGTTTTATAGATGTTTATACTTTGAGCATTTTTAGGTGTGAATCTGAAATGTAAAGTGGCAGTTGGTAGTAAAATCCTAATTCAATACAAAAGAATATATACTTTTTATTAAAAATTGTATATTTTATTCTTATGAATGATGTAAATAATTTTTTAAGGCCCCATTTCTCATGTTTGTTTTGTCATACCCAAGTTGTCTAATCACTGGCAAGTCTTTTTTGAGTAAGCACAAGGGCCTTAGTGTAGGTGAATAACCCACTTCATTTGAAATACACAGAAAGATTATTTAGGAGTACTGTTATTGAAAGAATAAAGTTAAATAAACCACTAAAGTGCTTACACTGGTTTTATTTCCATGGAAGCAGTCATCAGAGCTAAGGAACAACTCATTAATTAATTTCACTGGGTAAAAAAGCACATAGCACAGGGGCTGTGATTGGAATTAAGGCAGGTAATGATAAGAAAACTTTAGAGATAATAAATATCTTTGTATTTAAAAAGAATGCTGGTAACTTTCTTTTTGCAGTTGAAAACTTAGTTTTTCATGGAACTTGGTTATACCTAACTTTTATCAAGCTGCTTCAGGCTTACACAGTAAGTGAACATTCCTCTGTGCTGTTTTGTTTTAATCAAGGTGTAGTTCATTAGCACGTCGAGGCCCAAATTAACTCCAAAGCAAAGTATAAAGGCTTCCAACATAACTTCTCATAAAATATGGGCAAAGTTAAATTACTTCCAGCCAAGTTAACACTTACAATTAAAGCATGATATGTATTCATTTTAAGTACCATATGAAGTCTGAATTCCAGAGCTCCAAAATCTTCAACTGCTGGTCAAGGGGCAGTGTTATTTTTATCTCCAGTAATGGCTTGCTGGGAGAAATATCCTGTTGTGTAAGATGACTAACAAGGTCATCTGCCTTCACAAACATTACTGAAGATGATGCAGAGGGAAATAGCAGCAGAGAAATGAAGTGCTTTCCCAAGTCCCAGAGCAATGGAATTGAGAAAGCATCCTTCATCCCAGAGCACAGACGACCACAGACTGTGGTACCTCTAGGGAAAAAGTATACAACTTCAGTTCCTCTTCCTGAATTTTGCCCAGTCCCTGGAGACTCTGGGTCATGGAAAAGTTAATCCACATCTGCCATTACACCAGCCAGGATTTTTATTTTAGCGTATTACTGCATCAATAACTTAATTGACATAGAAATCAACAAGTGTTTACACTTGAGTACCGTTTGGGCCTGATGCTTTTGTTGTACTTCTCAGCATTTTTTCCCTTAAACCAAATGCACCATCTGCTCATTGCTCTGGACATATGTTATACATCTAAACATTTTTGAAAGGAGGAAGTAAATTGCGTGGCCTGCCAGTGATATTTTTTTGGTGTGGCTGCAAATAAACTAAGACCATACATTACAATTTTTGTTGCTAAAAGTCAGAACTACAGTTTGGACCCTTTATGGGTCTGCTGTTGCTGTGTGTTTGGAGCACAGTGAGATATGTAACACTCAGCTTTCTAAAAGTAAGTCAAATTCCTTGTGTTGCCAAGAAGTACAAAAGTTCTTATTGACCAAATTAAACAGACTTTGCACAGTTTTAAAGCAAGAACTGTGAGCAATATTAAAGAACTAAGCTTAGGAAAAACAGGAGAGTAAAATTCAATTGTCACTCTAATGGACCTTTCCCATTTAGTTCTGGAGTTTTAAGATGGGAGTTGACAAAGCATTAAAGAAGGTAATTTTCTGTTAATAGCAAATTAACTTCCAAATGGTGCATAGCATAAATGCCATTATAAAATGCTGTTATCTTGGGTTTATTCCTTTATGGCTAAGCCGCAACAATGGTATTTTCACATTGAAAACTCCTGTGCACTCTATCGTAATATCTGTCAGTCACTAAGATTTTTAACAGATTTGAAGGGTAGGAGAGGATACCAGATGACGTTTTTATTGTGATTACGCAGTAATGCAACACAGAGTGTAAGTCCTTATGGATTACTTTTTGCCAATGCAGCAGGGACTATAATTACAAACAGAACAACAGTTACTTTTTGTTTTGCTACTTTTCAGCATAAATAGAATAATTTTTAAAAAGTGGAATTTCAGCAATAGAAAAGAATTATTTCAAAATGTGTTTTCTTCACTATGCTGGCCCCTTACGTGTGCATTTTTTGTTAGAACCAGTGAGAACAGATCTTTTTCTGCAGTCTCAGGATGCTCATATGGAAAGTAAGAGTATTCCTCCTGCTTTCTATAAAACTTCTCTTTTCAGATGTTATGTGTTATAGTTTCCCTTAAAGAGATTATATAGAGGAGATAAGTTTACAGAACCATGGTGCTATACTTCATAAAAGCTAACACACCTTTATGCATATTCAAATTAAACTTTAAAAGCAGTGGGTTGAGATGATTTTACAAATATGCATGATTGAATGTCATCCCCATTAGCAACCAAACTGCTTTCTCGTTCATTAAAATGTCTTTATTTTCATAAACATGATCTGGGTATTTGAAGAGCACCTTGTGTTACATGAGAATGAATTATATGTGTGTGTGGCTCATAGAGGTCACATTTACCCAGGATCAGGAGCTGCTTTGAGGGTTGAGTTTCCTGTATTGTCTCCTGTGGCCACCATTCTTCTTTGTACCTGTTCTTTCTCCTACCAGCTCTGCAGCACTGACGATTAAGCCACCAAATGGAGAATACACCACCACAGACACAAGAGCCAATCAGGCAGCCTTAACACCAGTGCAAGCTGCCAGGAACGGAGACCAGAAAGCACAACTTCCTATACAGAGTAGCAGCCACAGGCCTTAAACACTTGGGATGAACACTGCCAACAGCCCCACAACACTGTCACAGGGTGCAGAGAAAGGGCCAGAACAGCCACTCCGGGCAGCTGGAACATCCTCTAAGACCAGGACATCACAGCCTTGGCAGGTCTGTTCCCCTCCTCTGCGAGCTCCTCTCCCCTCCTTCAGCAGCCAGGGAGAAAGCAGCTCTCTCGACCCTTGCCCAAGTGCTCATGACACAATAATGAGGAGTTTGTCATGGACAGGAGCCAGCTCTCCCCTCTTCCAGCCCTGAGGGACTCCTTCCACACATCCCCTCCTCCTTCAGCCAGGGCACCTCCTACCATGCAGATTAAGGGCACTTGTAAATGCTTAAAGGCTTTTGTACCCCACACCAGTCTTGCCTTGCAGGCCTTCCTTTATATTGCTTTGCTCGAAGAGGGCAACTTACCAAGATTCAGCCATCCCAGGGGAGCTGGGAGGAGATTGCTCCTAGTTTAAATACCCCTATGCCCATGGGCACACCCTGACAGGGCACAAACTTGGAGCAGCTGAGTTGCCCTCAGCCTCACACTGCAACAGGAGAAAGAAGCAAGGCAGGTAAGTTCTCCTACTAATGTATGTGCCTCAGTAGTGGACCTGCAAAAACTCTGCCCAGTGTGTAACCCGTTATTGAGCCAGTTGAGCTTATCCTGACAGGCTGTCGCTATTTCATTAAAAGTCAGTCAGGAAAAAAGGTGTTTATATTGGTAATCCTGAGCCTGCACAGGAAGGCCTGAGGCACCGTCGTGCATGGGTCAGTGCCTGAGGGTTGCAAGGGGCCCCAGACCTGCCCCTGGATGCAGCATGGGCAGGAGGTGGAGCTGGGCACACTACCAGCCAGCTGTGCTCTGTAGCCAGCCAGGCTGCCTGAGCCAGAGCAGGGTAGTGAATGTCTGTCAAGAACCAAGAATCACCCAACTTAATGCATGTGCCCCGAGTTGCATTCAGACCTAAACACCAGTGCTGAGTCCAGGTGCCTCGTGAGACTGAGTCCTTCCCAGTGGGTGTGAAGGCTGTCCAGCGGTGCTGAAGGGCAGCGCTGGACAGGCGGGTGGGGGTAAGTGACTTTCCCTGGCAATCCAGTTACTGGCATTCATCTCAGTGTTGACAGTGGCACAGGGCCAAAGTGTATATCCAGTTGTGCATTAGGAATCTCTGGTATAAAAAGTGGCCAAGAGCCTAGCAAATTTGCATTCCACTGATTTAGGAGTTTATATTTTACAGTGGGGGCAGGAATTCATGTGTGAGGGATTTGCCTAAAGGCCCAAGGGGAGAATGAAATTTTGAGGCCAATGCACAGAGTAATTATAGAACAAACAGCCTACACAGTGAAAGGCTGTGTGTTTTAGAACAAGGTATAAATAAACAACTGAAGTTTACAAACTGGTTTAATAACTAGACACACGAGCTTGTGATACAACTTACCGGAGGCTGTGTCTTTGTGTATAAACCATTTTGTGTTTATGGCTTAGGTGCTGATTATAAATTGGCATGAAACTACTTAATATAAAATACGCATTAGAACATTCACATTTGAATTAACTATTAAAGAAATACTGGGGTGGAGTCCCAGAGGGACTGCACATTACACTGACAAGGTGATCAAGCAGAATTAAAAAGGGAGTGAGACAGGGCTTTTAGTTGGCTGCCACCTTGGGTGGTTTTTCACGGCTGCCACTCATAAATGTTGCTGTAGTCATGCTGGACCTGCAGTGGTGCATGTTTGTTGTCATGATAGTGATGTATTAGATGAAACAAGTGCAGTTTGAAATTCAACAGCTGCACAGAAGGAGACTGGCTAGCTTGTTCCTGCTTCAATCCATGGGGAACAGGGCTGGCTTCTGAGTTTGCCACCAAGAAAAAATTTGGCTTCAGTTGGTGGCAGCCCAGGAAGCAGTGAATGAGAGGGACAGGCCATGACAGACCCTGATGTGCTTTGTCACAAGAGGGATATTCAGGAGAGACATGAGGGCTGTGCAGCCTGGGTTTGGTTTTGACACCCTCCACACAACCAACCAGTAGCTGCCTGTGTGTGACATAAGGCTTCCTAAGCAGAGCCAGTGTGGTTTTGGAAGCAGATAGACAGGAATGTAACAGCTGAAGGAAGAAAAGCAACTGCTGAAGTAAGCAGAGGCAGTTCCAGCCTCGAATAAGGAAAGTCTATGCAAGGTGATAAAGAAAAAAGAATATAGGAACAACTGGAAATCAAATTGCATAAACCAATCTGCAGGGTCCCAAGGCCCTCGGAGCATCTGGCCAAGGGATATAGGAGAGTATGATGACAGGGATTATGCATCACTGCTTGGTTTCCATACCTGCGCACGGATTGAGGGAACTTTTGTCTGCTAGTGGGATGGTCTGTCTATTGCTACCCTCAGTTCTGATTTACCACTTCGGTGACACAAGCTCTTAGGTGAGCACCGTGGCCAGGTCATGCAATTGTGTGGGAAGTGCAGATGGCAGCTTATTTGAGCTAGAAGTAATTTTCTGTTATTAGTGACTTTGGAGGTGCTGAAGAGAAGGGATGGAGCTGATCCTGCAGATTGGGCCTTGGAAGATGATTCACTTCTTGTGCTGCTTTCACCACAATACCCATCTCTGAACTACTGAGACATCTCCCACTAACCAAAGTTATGAGCCATCCCAAGAGAGAATAGCAGAAACTAGAAACAAACCTTCCCCGTTGTAGCAGCAAACTATTTTCTGTAATTCACCCCAAAGGCAAAATTTGCTTCTGTGGTGAAGGGTTGTTGTATCCTCATCCCAGTGATGCCTACTTTTCACTTACAAGTTCCGAGTGTTAAGATCTCTGAGTAAACACCTTAATATGGGCACACAACGCCCATGAGTGAATACAGCCTGTGCAATCCAATAATTTATTAAACTTTCATCTTGTAAAGCCAGTTACAAATTAAAAAAGACAGAAGAAGGAATTCTGTAATAGAAATGAGCAAAGTTACAACAAATAGTAGTGGAGTTATGTTTCAAGTGGGTTCAAGCTGCCTGCAGCAACCCAAGAGCCAGAACACAGAGCTAGTGCAGAGTTAGAACAGGGATAATCAAGGCTAGTCTGATACATAAGAGACTGAGTCAGTGTACGGTCCGATACAAAGGGTTGCTTCTCAGGTTGCCTCTGCATTCGTGTTTCTCACTTGTGACCTGGTCATCTTTTTATTCCTTGTGACAACAAGGGGGTGTTTATAGGATCCTTCAGTAAAGCTATTTAAGGCAAAACTCCAGTTGAAGTATGATGCACAGCAGTGGCTATCTTCTTAGGCTGATCATGTGGCAAGTGCACAGCGTTTGCACATGCTGCAGTGTAGTGGAAACGAGAGAAGAGCATGGGTTATGTACAGTCTTGTACTGTCAACCTCAAAATTACAGTGTTCTGTGACACAGTGTTAGTGACATGGCACAATCTAATGATGAAATGGAACCTGCTCCATACTGACTCCCACTTTTCTATGAAATTTTTATTTCATAGCTAATAGGCCTTAGCTGCTACTTCTTCAGAAATGGAGACAGACAATATTAAACGTAGAACAAGGCCCACATTACATACAGTCCTGCAGTTTCATTAACAAACAGAATGGGCCTTTGCATTCTGGGATCCCAAGACTATACAAGGGTCATAGAAAATGGCTCGCCACCAGCTTTCTTGTTTTCTAATTCAACTAATTTATGATGTGACTGATACTGATATTGTTTTAAACACTGAAGTCAAGTTTCTGGGGTCAAGAGACTGAAGATGACTGTCATCAAAATTCTGCTTCTTCAAATTGCAGGAGCTATAAATACCTCCAAGAAGCAGTTGTTTTAGCAAAACAGCATTGTTTTCAAGTTCTGCTGAAGACAAGGGACCTAGAGGAGACTGGAAAGGGATTTGGGGATTCCATAATGCAAGCAGTTCTTGTTAAAAGCTGGAAGTGGATGACAGGTTTGGCATTTGCTTACAATTGTACAGAGAAGTGAAAATCTTACCTATAACAATTTATCTAGGCATCTATGCACTCAGTAGGAAACAGTTCACTTTAAAACTAAAGTTTAGGGACCCCAGTCATCCTAAAATCCCATCTAGAGAAAGAAGGATCTTAACGCAGGCAGGCTGGTCAACATAAACCTCCAACCTCCATCTAATACCTGGAGTTTGTGAAGAGCAGCTCTTCTGGAAATGCTAATAAAACAATCTCTCTCTTACACTGTTCAGGGGAGAGGCAGTAATTTTTTTTTAGGCAAGAGGTGCTGCTTACAATGTGCCTGGAATGGCAGTGGTGCTAGTCCCAAAGATTTTCTCCTATGTTGGAGTATTTAGTAGTTTAACTGAAAGTGCCACTTTTTATAGTCATGTACCTGTGAACTTTTATTGGAAGGTAAAGAATCACCTTGGGTGTTTTTATTTGTTTCTTTGTTTAATGCTCTCTCACGTAGGGTTTGACCTCTCTGTTGGACCATTTGGCTTCAACTACGCAAAGGCATTTTCTTTTAAAACCAGATCAGATCATTAGTGTATCCTGAAGAAAAAAAAACCCAAACCACAGTGACTTATATTTTAGGTTTGCTTGCAAAATAAATAAAACAAATATTCTTTTAGCAGACCGTGCTATGATCACGTGATCCCAGATGTCTGCATGTTCAAAATTCAGAAGGAAGTTTAAGTCTGTCTCCTGTCTTGCAGAAATGATTCTTGTGAATTTCTCTGCCAGTATGACAGGTAATGGTGAAAGCAGCAGAGAGGACACTGAAGGAGAACGAGGATGCTTCTGACTTTGCTTCTTTAAGGTACATTGTTCATCAAACAAGCAAGGGGAAAACAAGTTTTGGGTCATTAGTGTTTAACAACAGTTGTTACTGTTTAATGTCTTTGGGCAGAGGTGCAAATCCTATAGTACTGTAGATGTCGCTTCAGGTTTTGAATACAGTAGTCAGCTGAATTCTTAGAAAACATCCTTGCTACACTTGTGCTGGCAAGTTGCAAATACTCATCATTAAACTACTGCCAGTTCATTCGTATCACCTAGTCCAGATGCTTGCGTGACTGTCCACACTGGTGGCTGATTTGACACTGCAGCGTTTCTTCACAATCATGTTGATGTATGCTTTCATGATTTTTATTATCTCGCCCACCTGGAGAGAGAATACAGTAACAGAGGATAAGCACATTAAAAACCTCAGTCCATTGAGTCATACAGGACATTTTGCTGAAAAAGACTCCTCTTGTCCAAAGTCATGGCACAGTAAATTTTGCATGCAATACTAAATGTGAACATGACAGTAAGAAAAGAAATGCTTGGCAAGTTTGTGCTCTGTTGTAACAACACTTAAAAAGATTTTTAGCTCAAAGAAAAGCAACTTCAGTGCTACAAAACTTTTTTTTTCCTTTTTTTTCTTTTTTTTTTCATTTGTGAACTCCCCATTCATCTATTGGAAGGGAATGAAAAAACCAGGCCCAATCATGAGCACCCAAAACTAGAACTTCTCAATGCACTGGAAGACCATTCAACCTCCTTTGCTTTCTAACTAGCATATTTTTTTTCTGTTTATCCCTGTATTTAACAAGAGGTACCATGCCCTTTCGGCTTAAGCTCCCTTCATCTATTCCCTTGGCTTAGTCCATTAGTCAAGAGTTCTTGCATAGAAACCTGTCTAATTCCTTGGAGCTTAACTGAAGTGGCAATAAAACTGAACATACAGCAAGTCTTGTGCTTTCACATACCTGGGATGTTTCAAAGAACATTTCTCTCTCATCCACTGTAATTTTGAAGGTGTTAGGCTGTGGTGCTCCGAAGAAAACAATGTGCTCATACTGGAAAGTTTCTAGTGGTTTAGGATCCCCTCGTTTGTAGACAGACACATTCTCTGTGCTGACTCCAAGCCAGAGATCGTTGGGGAATCCACCCTCCTTGCACTGCAGAAAAATAAACGTGACCTTTTGCATAAATGCAGTGGAGAATCAAATAATTTTTGATTCAAGGAAAAGCCCTCTGTTTCTAGTTCCTGTAGGACATTTCAACTCTTCACCCCAATATAAAAAATGTCTGCAGAAGATATGTTGGAGGTACTTCTGCTGCAACGATTCAGAAATGACATGACTATGAGTAAAATACTAGTTGAGTAGTAAATAATTATAATAGCTAACAGTTCTTATCAGATTTTAAGGTGATGTAGCAAGTCAATATTCCACTTCTTATTTTACAGATAATATAGTGAGTGCAGGCAACTTCCCATGTGATTCACCTAGGCAGCAACAAAACTGATAAACTGGCACTGTGGATCCCTCCTCTAGCAGACTGAGCACAGCGTCCCAGTCTGAGCAGTTTCTGTTGTACTGCTGCAGAACAGGATTGCAGTTTTTGCTGGTAAGGACAACAGAGGTTGGTTTTACTTTTGCTTTCAGTAGCCACCACTTTTTTAACCCCTCCCTCCCCCAAATTCCCAAATTCCATTGTTAGTCTAATGAAGTGGGAATCCATTGTCTCTCTTCATTTACCATGATGTCCCAGCTTGCTTGCTCTGTGCTCTCTGCGTCACAACTCGTGGGTATGTGGTACTGCAGGCTTACCCTGAGCTTACTAAGGCAAAATGCATCCAGTTACTGAAACTCCCTTCTGCTGCTGAGCAATGGGATAACACGGCTCTATCTGTTCTTCAGACTGATGCCTTTCCTTGGCTGTAGTTACATGAGTTTATATATTGCTCACCTCAACATCGAAGAGTGTTGACCCATAACCTGGCCACTCCTTTACGATGGACATGTATTTCACCATGGCCTGATGCTGAGAGAGTCCCTGCAGCTTGGTCCATTTCTGTGCTATGCTTGCACGAGCAGCTGAAAGCTCTTCCTTCACCCACATCTCCATCATCTGCTCCTCTTCTACCTTCTGCTTCTTTACAGACCCTGTCTTGAAGCTACGTTTCAATGTCCCTTCAAGGAAGCTGGTCCGTCTCCTCTCCAGAGTATGACTGGTAGTGCCACTGCTCTTTGTTGAGTGCAGTATTTTGGATTTCAGTCTGTTAACTGGGTAGATTCCATCAAGGGTCCAACTTATTTTGGAATAATCTCCATGAAGATACTGAAGCCGCAGAGCTGCTAGGCGCTGCAGAGTGTCCTCTGGTGCCGGAAAATGACCATCTATGAGGCTTTCATGAGCCTACAAACAAAGAGAAAGTCCCCCAGACTCATGAAAATGCAGAAGCACACTTTATTCACAGCTGGGTCCATGTACAGATTCCTATGGCATCTACCGATCCCAGTAGGAAAGACAATTCAGGAGGTTACAGCAGACACTGCAATAAATAAGTCAAAGTCTGCAACTGGTTAATGTGAGGGGAACACCCCTTTCTGCAAACCTGGACAGGACAAAGATCTTTGAGGGGCTCCTACCCTGCACAGGAAGTCCTACAATGAGGACCATTTATGTCTGGAACAGACGAGAGAGACTGGAATTGAGGCAATTTGGTTTTGTGCTGTACCAGCTCCTGTGTGGAGATATATTCAACACCAGAGTCAGATGTAATAAATTCAAGATTCTCAACCTCAGTTTCATTACACAAAAGCAGTTCGCACCTCTTCCTCTTTCACTCGACATCTTGCTTCCCTTTGTCTGTTTTTCTGTTAAATCTATTTATGGGGGGGTTGCCAAATCCATCTAATGCCCGGGTAACACCTACTCTCCTACTGTTACTTCTCCTTGCCAGTTGAAGCTGTGTAGACTGAAAGCCTTGTCAACAGGGAGTTTGGTACAACTGAGTTTCCACAGAGCACCATGATGTCTTGTTCCCAACTGTTCTCTAGACATTCTATAATTGACAATACTTGACAATACTTGACGTTCATTTCATCTGTGTGATGAATATGCCACCCATTTGACTATCAGTGAGTTTCAGTCTTCGTGACTCTGACTGCCTTTAATAACATCTTTAATAATTTTCACCAGCTATGATTTTCTGAGGCAAGGTCAGTGTTCATTAGAAGTCATACAGATGGGAAAAACCACAGAGCTGGGTGCTGCAGTCAGTTTAGTTTTACATCCCTAACTGGCTCTTTCATACCAGTGTGATCTCTGATCTAAGCATCATCATCGTGCTATGGAGTACAGCGACTTAAAAAAACAAGACTACTTGTCAGATAAACATTGTCAACTACATTCTTTTTTCCTTTGTCTGTAGTACTCTTACTTGTCTGTAATCAAAAGAAATTGCCCAAAAGATAGGTTTCATAGTTAATTCTGGTAACACCCCAAGGATGTGCTGTTCTTATAAGCTGATCTGCAGACTTTCCAGTTTGCTTTACATTTATGTTCTGCAAGCAGCTACTTTCAATGATTCATCTTGAATCATTATCCAAATTTCTATGTCTTTTAAAAGTAAAGTTTAAAACCATTTTATTATCGTTGGTCTTACATTTTTTTTAAGCCTTTGCTAATTTTCTTTCTTTTATTATAATACTCCTCTTACCTAGAAAACTTCACAGTGTACCTGCTTGGTAGATTCCAGGCAAAAATCCAAAACACTAATTCTTCTGTTCTAACCAGCATTCCATCTTCTAATGAAAGGTAAGCCACTTTTCTGTATACTCACGTGCTTCTGCCACCCTGGAAACCAGGTAAGTCTCCCGAAGTGAGCTTACCTGCTCAAACATGAAGGCAAATTCCACTCCATCTTTGGGAACATTCTCAATATCCAAGAAGCAATAAAGCTTAAAATACAGTTGCCACTGTCCCTCCTCTTCTTCTTCAGAGCCAGCAAGTCTGTAAGATATGAAAGACAATGAGAAGGGAAAAATACAGTAAGGAAAAGAACCACAGTACTGGGATGTCCACAGTGCAACTCACAATCTGAAGGTAACCCTGGATTCTGAAATCCAGTGTTACATCCCACTAGGAATTAAGGGTTTTACGAAACATTCTTTTACCTCTCAAACTTGGCCAAGATATCAGCCACAATCACCCGACTCTCCACAGCACGGTCAACCTGCTGATTATGTTCAAAGAGCGCAAACATATTCCGGCTGTCCTCCATTGCTAAACCTCGGATCAACTTTTCAACCACCTGCAAAATCAGAGAGACACAGATCTCACAACAGGTATTACACACACTTTCACACTGAAAAATCAGTACCTCTTCAGGACACTCACAATTTCATACACTTCCATCACATTTCTCCCTTAGTTACCTCGTTTTCAGAATAATGAATACTAACCCTAAAAGATGATTCTCCGTACTTATATTTGATCATCCTTGCTTTTCTTCTCTGAACCTTTTCAATTTCCCCTTTTTAAAGATCTATCCTTTTTAAGATGGGGAAATTAGAGCTCTGCACAAGATATAGGCACATAATGGATTCAGATGGCATGACATTCTCAGTTCCTCTAATAACAATTCCACTTTTTCCTCTGTTGAGCACTAATGTTTTCACAGACATGACTACTGCAACTTGGAATCTTGCTTCTGACCTGCTAGTGATTAAGTTACTCTAGAATATCCCTTTCAGAAGGATTCCATTATGAACTGGAATTTCTACTTTTCCAGAAAACTGTGTTTATCAAGTCTTCAGAATTAGTACCTTTCCAATGGATAGAACACCATAAGTGTTTAGATTTTGCAACACAATTGTCAGGTGATATTCTACAACACGGGCACTGGCCTTGTAGAATAAGCTGAAGTTTCCCTACAGATACAGTAAAAAAGTTATAATTAAAAAAAAAATGAAACTGGGAGATGAATGGGAAAAAGGTGTCTCTTCATCTGGTTAATGCTACTAATACATTACCTCCCCAGCGCTGGTGTGGGAGTTGATGGTTATTTTACAGGAGCCGCCGCCATGGCAGTACACTGTTGTGGTCATTTCTTCACGCGTGAGAAGAGCCTGTATTTCCTCCTGGGAGGGGACAAACTCCCTTGTCTTTGTTCTCTTCAGGGAGTCACTTATGAATTGTGCATACCTGTCTATTTCTGAGTCTGGAAAGAGGTCTTTTACCCTAATTGTAAAAAGAAGTAAAAAAACTCCATTACACATTGAACCACACGTTACCATGAAACTTGTAAAGAGTCTGGTAGAGATATTGATGTCAAGTGCAACCACAAGAAATACAAGCTAATTTCCTAAACCATGCAACCTGCTTTTACTAGTCATTTGAAAGTGACTTCAGTGACATTGCTCAGCAATGTGTGAAATAAGGAGTTCAAATTATCAGGAGCTTAGTAACAGCTGAAGACAGTACAATCAACTATTTCAATTTACAAAACTGAGAATAAAAACTATAAAATCAAATGTAAACTTTTTTCATTTATTCTAATGGTTTTTTCATTTGCTGGCTGTGTTTGAGCACTTTTACAGTATATTTGAGAACTAACAAGATAGAAAGTAGATGCTTGTACACAGTTCTCTTCCCTCCAAGGGCAGCAGGTCTAAGTATAAAATTATCTGCAACTGCAGTGATAAAACTATGAAATGGCTACATCGAGTATTCTTCAGCACCTCTGAGACTCAGGCCCTGGGTGTAGCTATTTGGTGTACTAACACAAAATTCATCTCGTTCTTTTCTAGCTTGTAAATAATTAAATAGATTTTATTGATCTTTCTCATTGCTCTCATCATTAAGAATAGAATGAGGCTACCAGGCTGCAGCTCAGCCCCAACGCAGACTGCTTTGGAAAGCTGCATTAGATGCTGAAGATGAATTGGGAAGAAATGGAAATTACTTAGTTCATGAAAATGGGAGGCTGAAGCAGAATAAAATTACAAATTGTAAGCATTATGTGCTTAGTTAAGCAAACAAATATTGAAAAATTATAGTTTGGATTTACAGTACATCTCCTACTCCATAGTACACATTTTGCTTGTGCCAGCTGCAGTGTAGTACACATTTCAATGAACATGAAGGTTTGGTCCTCACCTTTCCAGCAGGGTGATAATGTTTATATGTACATTAGTAAGCAGTAGGTCATCAGCTGTAAATCCACTGTAACACAGTCTCATGATATTCTGTTTGGGTAACTTACATACCACATCCTTTTGACACAATAGATGGATGGCAAGGGGGGAGTTTGAATACACAGAACAACTGGTAGCAAGAATTGTGTGCAAAGGTAGGAGGCTGGAACACCACAGGAAGATGTTTCCACAGGAGGAGGGCAGAATGGGTAACTACAAGGGGCAGTGGAAGATAAGCAGAGTAAAAGGAAATAGGCTGCAAACGGAAGGGACATTTACCTTCGAAGGTGGAACTTGAGGTAGCGCAGGATCCCTCTGCTGGGCAGGAAAGTGCAGCTCATACAGCACATCAGCTGCCAGTGGTGCAGGTTCCCAGTACTGTTGGGATGTGGCATGTGGTTAGTTTGCTTGATGAGCTGACAGTACACTTCATCGCGAAGAGGCTTTAAATCATGGCAGGTCTGCAGGATGCCTTGGATAATGGGTATGGGGTCAGACACCGTCTCGATTTCCTGAAGGGAGTTAAAGATCTTCACTGCTTCATCCTGTAAGCTGCTGTAACCCTTCTCTTGTTGCACTGGAAAACGATCACAAAAGTGACAAGAGGTGAACATCTCCCTCATTTTCTAATGGCCCAGCAACACTACAAGCAATTGTACTACTCTGTACAGCAACCTGAGCTGATATCCTGAACTTAAATTTATACTCAAAATTCATTAATGCTTCCCCTATAAATGTTCAAATGCAGTTTTAATTAGTATTTGCTAACATCTCACTTTGCACCACTGCAAATTCATTTCTGGATATACTGTGCAGAAAAGCAGAGTGATGCTTTTAAGGGAAACAAGCACTGAAATCTAGTTCAGGCTTCAGTGTCTGCAACTGAGGTGCCTGAATGCAGCCACCGAAGCCTGGCTTGTATACTTTCAAAACTCTGTGTTGTGCCTGTATTAGCTTTGACCCCTGAGCCAACAAAGAACTTTCACAAATTGTGAAATTGCGCAGATGCAGCTTTTACCTATTGTTTAGATTTAAAATGCTTAG